TAGTGGCTGTACCAATTTGCAGTCCCACCAGCAGTGTATGAGGGTTCCTTTTTCTCTGCATCCTCTCCAACATTTGTTATCACTTCTCCTGTTGATTATACCAATTCTAATAGGTGTGAGATGGTATCTCATTGTGGTTTTGATTTGCATTTCCCTAATAGCTAGTGATGTTGAGCATCTTTTCATATAGTTGTTGGCCATTTGTATGTCCTCTAGGGAGAAGTGTCTGTTCAGGTCCTCTGCCCATTTTTTGATTGAATCATTTGTTTTTAAGTCTCCAATTCTTAACCCCTCCATACATGATTTTCAAGAAGTATTTGTTTTTCATCAAATTCTGCTTTAGACTAAGCTGCTATATAAAATATTTTCATTATGTTTCTTGCATCTGAATAAAAATTAATGAACAGTGACATTATTTTAATTAAGTAGGTTGATCGATTTTATATCTATTTAGATGCAACATCCAATTTTTGATAGTTGTAACTTACAGTAAAGTACTCTTAGTATTTTTAGCATCATTAATTTTATGAATTTTATGTGTAGTTTCCTTCCATTTCTTTTTCATAGACTGAAATCTGAACGTTTCTATAATTTTATTTTTAGAGAATTTTATTTCCCTAGTGTTATGTTTTAAAATTTTTTTTTACTATCTCCGCAAATAAAAAAATTGTATAGAATATAAAGGTTTATACTGCTATTTTTGGCAATTGCCCATTAATTAATTCTATTCTATAAATTAAATGTGAAGCACAAAGGTAGTCTGAGAAGTTAAAGAGTCTCCCTTCTGACGAGCCATCCTTGATCCAGAGCCTGTATCAAGTAAATCCCTTCAACTTCCTGTTAGTCATGAGCTTCTGTGGTCCTGTGGCTTGTGCTGAAGTATATCTGGTCCTGATGTGTGTTTTGTCATTCACTTTCAGTAGTGCTCAATAGTGCAAAAGACAGCATTAGAGTACTCATTAAAACAAACAGATGTAAGATTGGTTGGCCTGAGGAATAATGGCAGATTCCTTTTGTCTGTGAGAGTCACCATTTTTCATTGTCTTCCTGAATTAATACTATCAAGTAAGAGTAAGAAAAAAAAACTTAATGATGAAAATTAATTTAGGAACCTTACATTTACATTTTTATTTGATATAGTTTGGAAAAGTTGGCTATGTCACACTAAAATTATGTGTGGCTACAGCATTTCTTTTGTCTCTGTATCGTGTGTTGAGATCATTTATAGTTTATAACTTGAAATATAACTTGCATTAGATATTGCATATCAGTTTACTCTTTAGGAAGCTGTTCAGTTTATTACTCAGCCTTATCCAGTTTGACAAAAAGATATTACTACCACAGGAGTCTCCACTATAAAAGTTGCAATGGAGCAATTTTATGATAATTGTGTGTAATTTATTTCTGTGTGAATATCAGATGCTTTAAAAAATTTTTTCCTCATAAGTGTAACATGTATTATAACATTGTTCTAAAGGAATTCACGCAAGTGCTTTGAGCACCTAGCTCAGATATCACAAATGTATTTGCTAAATTGATTTCTCTGACCATTGTGTTACCTGGCTCTAGATGGCATGATATGGTACTTTCTATTTTGGATAAAATAGATTCATGTTTCAATAGGAAGCAGAGTATGATAAACTTACAAAACAACTTCGGGGTTTCTAAATGTAGCAAATTTTGCGCTAGTTTTGACTTTTTTTATAGTCAGTGGTGGATGCAGTTTCTCTTTTCTTTTGCCCGCAAAAGAGGAGCCATTTTAATATTCACAGGTATCAGAATTAAACAAATCCTATAACTGTAGCCAGAAAAGAATCAGGAGACCTGTTTTAAGTGACTTTTTTCTTTGTATAAGTCTGTCAAGCCCTATATTTGTGCTTGACTGACAGAGATATGATGTTATTGTTGGTAGTGTAACCCCTCTGAGGTGTGAATATGACACTTATGTGCAGCCTGTTGTGTCCCACCCACCTTCAACAATTGTCAACTCAGTATGAAGTCCAGGAACTTGTTGACAGATGAATGAAGCAGACTTAGCCAAGCTAAGCTTACAATGTTATTTCTGCCAATGTGATAGATGAATTAGGAAAATAAATCTCTGTAGAACTTTTAAATGAGAAACTCTGGTATCTTTACTTCATATGAAAAAAATAATCAATAGTAAATCTTTTCCAAATATACTAATAAGTATACTTTATAGTAACTACCTACCATGTATCACTTTATGCACCAATTCTTATACCAGCCCCCTGAACTAGAGATTTATTGTACCCATTTTACACAGGAAGAA